ATATATCACTATGAAATGGGAGTATAGTTTTCAAATGCTTAGAAGGTGATGGCTTGCGAACTATAAATCAGATCGGATTTGATTCGGCTATTAAGATTTTTTTATATATTTATCGAAACATGTCATGACAATTGATAATAATAAACAACGTTAACACTTTCTTTTACAATAACATGAGATAAGAGTACGCAATAATACATCACAAAGGCTTACTATGACTGTATACTGTCACTTACCTATAGGTATTTTCTACAAATTGTATTTTTAATGTCTTTATGTTTAAGGGATTGAACTCCTGCAAATGACAATAGCTGTAAACATAAAACAAGTAAGAATAAAGCTGATTACAAAACATTTCTAAGATGGTATAATTAATCCGTTCGAATGATGTAAATTTCAGCTGGATTAAGCGATTACAGCGTTATGCAATCTTCAAGCATGCGTTTATTAAAAACAATTACAGACGAATGACTAAATGCTCGAAACAATTGATAAACATCTGGATCAGTTATACCAAACAACTTTAACCAACTTACGCTTTTATTGTTTTGTTATTTTAATATTACATATGATAGCGTCAAGCTGAAATAAAAAGTAAATTAGCATAGATAAAATTTGTCAAAAAAAAACGAAAAACAGTACCAAAAACAGCAAGAACACGAGCAATAATAAATGCTGTGAGCAAGAAAAAAAACTAAAACAATACGATGCGGTTATATACGGAAAGAACAATACCTCAGCTCGTAATATTTTTCTAATTAATTTCAGCTTGCACCCAATTGCACATTATGCGTTCGTACATAAATATTTACTGCCAAGAACAATAGATCTCCTATTGTCGGCACTAAAATTTTATTAATACTGACGTCTTTGTGATCGCAAATACATGTCTATCAGATTTTTTCTAGTCCAAAAACCATGCATGCAAAAATAAGTTTACGCTATGTAAAACATGCCCTCAAATTTTATTGATTAAAAGCTAAAGTAACTAACAATTGTACTCAAAATCGAACAGATAAGATTACATAAATTAATGAGTAAAACGTTTGTTGAGACTGTTTATTATTTTTATACAACATTCTGGAGGCGTAAATAATGTTATTTTACTTTCATACTTTGTATTTGTAATAATAAAATCCAAGGTTTAATCAACCGCAGAAATAGGGCTTATGAAAACGTGTCCGCTAATATAAGTAGTGCACTAGTTATTAACAATTGTGGTAGTTTTTGAAAAGTGTAAAAATGTTGCTCCCGGGAGCAAATGTATTTACTTCGATGAAAGTTTTAAATAACTAAAAATTATTCAACAAGAACGGCTATTGAATACAATAAAAAGTTGCCCAATAACATTTAAGAATCCAAACATTATGTATTACCAAGTTTTTAATCTTTTTTAATGCATCGATATAAAAATACATTAATTTGACTAATTTTATCATTGTCAATAAAAGCTTTATTTAGTACGAGAAAACAAAATAGATTATGCCCCTAAGCTTTAAGGGGCAACGATAAGAATTGATAGAAATAATCGGAATGTCAAATGTAATAAAGTATAGCCTACAAAAAAAAATTGCTCGTGTTTAAAAGGGGTTGGATTAATCTGGCATTATAGTTACATTTAGCTATGTATGTAAAAGTATTCAAGTTTTATTGTAAGCACAAACCTGAAAGTAAAAAAAAGATGCAGCAATAAGTACAATAATTTGCATGAAAGTATGTGCGAATGATAAACTTTAGAAGAAATAAAAGATTTGGTGCGCAGTAAAAGGAGTTCAGGTTATATTCTTGATTGCCGGATACATTTTGCTTTTCTTGAATAAATTTTTAATTAACAAGGCTCGCGATACATTAAATTACCAACGCACAAATAGGCATATGATCACTTTCTTTAAACATGTTTACATGTTTAACTTTTATATAATAAAGTACTCCAACTTTGAAAAGTTTTCAACTCAGTATGGAGAAATTTGTATGACAAATGGTCAGTAAACTTTGTAATGTAACAATATGTTAAATAAAGGCAAATTTCTATCGTTTCGTTATGTTGAGCTAAATAATTTAACGACAGCAATAAATAACGAATAGAGTTTGTGCATCATTATATTTGATATAGTATAAACCAACAGATTGGAAAATAATTTTTTTTATTCCAATCCTTCATTAAAGCACGCTTATGTAATGATAGCAATTCCGCAGTTCTTTATCTGCTGCTGCGGCGTTCAATGTAAATAACAGAAATGCCGCAGCTTCCTTATCTTCAGCATTTTGTGTTACTATTTACGATGTGCTACGTTATCTCCTGCAGATCGTGTATTACGGAGGAGAATCATGTCCATAATATTTTGGAACTCACGCTATGGTAATGAAGTTTATCGGTTATATCCAAACTTTCATTACAACAGGCTTCGATTGAACATACACCACAATACCAATTGAGACCTTTTTTTTTCTGTTTGAATAACAAAGGTGACGTTTGATGCGATGCCATAACCATACTATGACGACTATGCGGATATGTAGAATTTTGCGCAGAAAAGCTTGTGCATGATCATTATGTAATTCTCAAAGTTTCGCAAAACCACAAACAAATGTAATTGGTGAATGCAAAAGACACAAGAAGGCAAACAATAAGGAACTTGAACCTTAAAAAGGTTAAATTTAATCGTACCAAAAACCGGAATTTCGGCAAATAATTTTAGCTAGTCAAGCTACAAACCTGATTTAGGGGGGAAAAAAAGTATAAAATGACACGCATTCGTACTAAACACGTAGGAAACAGCACATACGCAGCACTATTCCAATGAACAATTCATCATTCACCAACGTAACTGTCGCGGGAGGCGCTGGAGGTTTGGGCTTTTTCATAACTGAAGCCTTATTGAACGACGGGTCTTTTAAAGTGAAGGTTCTTCGAAGACTGCCAGAAACCGCAAACGATAAAGCCGAATTGTTGGCTTCCAAAGGCGCAGAAATTGTATACGTTGATTATAGTCAGCATGACAATCTCGTCAACGCTCTCAAAGAAACTGATGCACTGATTAGTGCCGTATCTCCTGGACGAACAGGCTCTTATGACTTTGATGCTCTTCAAACCCCTTTGTTGAATGCTGCCAAGGCTGCCGGTGTGAGAAGGTTTATTCCATCCGAATTTGGTATCGATTACAAGTAAGCCTGTCAATTTAACTAGTTCTTTTCTCTCATCGATATGCTTTATGATAACGAGTCTATTTTATGCACGGTGAAAAAAAAAAAAAAAAAGAGTCGGTGATCATCCGATGAACGATACGAAAGCCGCCTTCCGTGAAAAGGTTAAACAAAGTGGACTCGAGTACACTTACATTTTGTGCGGACTGTTTGCAGAATATCTTGGCGGGTTCGCATTCGACGTCAAAAACAAGACTGCGAAATTCTATGCAGATGGCAGCACCGAATTGGCCGTAATTTCTCTTCCAGACATTGGAAAATATACAGCTGAATCTCTTAAAATAGAAGAATCTCGTAACGCCACCATCAGGGTTGCCGGTTCGAGATTTTCATTAAACGAAATACTTGAAAAGTTTGAAGAAGCTACCGGTGAGTCTTTTTGTCGCATTTGCTATTCTCTGCTTTCGCTTTGATAATGCTTTTTTTTTGGGGACAATTCTTAATTATGCTAATATGCAATTATCATCAAGGTTCCAAATGGAAGGTTGTCGTAGACAAAGAAGTCAAACACAGATTCCAGAATAAGATTGAACCAATTCCTTCGCCAATGGATTTGTATATAGCTATTGTTTTAGAAAGAGCGTCGTTCGAAACTATTGATAACGACAAGTTTAGTTTCAGCCCCCGTCCTCTCACTGACAATATCGACGTGATCGTTCAGCAGGCAGCTGTTTGATATAAGTCAGAGTTGGACGTAAAACTCTCGCATAATGTCGGAGTTGTTTTCCTAAATATTTGATCTCTTGTAATATATTGCAAATTTCCTTTTTGTTTAATTTAAATTGCAATAAAATTGATTGTTCCAACTTTAGGTGCAAACTTACGATATTAGTTGGCGATAAATATGCTCTCAAGTCGCTATAACTGTGGTCAATATTCATTACGCATTAATAATAACTCTTTTCTCTGGTCAACGTTATTTTATTCCATACATTGTGCTATTTGACACCACGTGAACAAATATAATCAAACTTTGTAACATAAATGTTAGTCATTTACTTTCACTACACGCATCATACTCGTCGTTCATATGGTAAGTAGAAATTAAGTTGCATAAAAACGATAGAAATAAGTATATGTTTGTCAACAGAAACAAATCTTCCCATCGATTCGTAACAAACTGTTGCAACGCGACAAAATGAAAGACAAAAACAAATAAACCTCGCCTTAGTCATAATATTTGTTTATTAATAATTTATTAACCATCTAATAAATACAAATTAACTTAAAATACAAAAATTCATCAAAATATACATGTTAATTGTAGCCAGTGACAGTTATTTTGATTCTTCAGATTGGGAAGTGGGTTGCTATTTTGAGTTATTAGTTTTAGATAACCGTTTCAATAGTTTGTATACTGCTTCGCAGGATGGTCGTTCATCCGGATTTTCACTCCAACATGCTTGATAGAGCGTAACATATGTTTCCGGTGTATCCGAAACAGGAGAATCCCGATAACCATGTTTTCTATACTCTGCCACATTAGTATTAGCACACTTGTTACAAGGAATTTGCCCGCTGGAAATTTCCCAGAGCAGCACTCCAAGGCTAAATATATCAGACTTTTTTCCACGTTTATATGATCGAAATCTAAATGACAAGGGATCTCTGTATGCTGCAGTGCATTCACCCATTGAAGAGGACATGATTTGTCCAGATAAACCGAAATCAGTAATTTTCGCAATGCCGGATTTGATAAGAATGTTGAAGGATGACTATATGAGTAAAAATTAGAGATAATATTTGTACTTGTATGTAGCTTATGATCGTAAAGCTCATGGCTCACAATGAAATGAAATAGATCCTTACCAAATCCTTGTGAATAATATCAAGTTTATGCATGCACCTCAAACCATTGACGATTTGCAAACCAAGCTCATATTTGTCGTTCCAAGTTAGGTCATTAAAGTGTTGCTTCAAGTGTCTGCGCAAATGTCCGCCATCAGCAAACTCGAAAATCATGTGATAATCTTCATCCTTGTCTATATAATTAAAATTAGCGAGTCATGTATAAAAAAAGTGTAGTTATCCTTGGTAAAAAATTAGAATACTTACAGAGGCCTAAAAATCGAATAATATTTGGATGACCGCTCAGTTTCTTGTGATTTTTCAACTAAGATTGTAAATTAATGTTAGTAAATTGACCATAGTATAAAGCTGTGTCGTGTACAATAATATTAAAAATCACCTCTCTGAAAAACTTTTTGTACAACTTTTTCTCACAGTCATATGCATGCGGAACCAACGTTTTCATGGCAACAATCACTCCAGTTTGTTTCACGGTTGCCTTGAACACTACTCCATACGCACCACTAGCAATAGGTGTGCGTTTAACATTAATATCGCTTTCTAAATAACAAGTGACATAACCCACTTGAACACTCTTGTCTATCCATTCTTTGTATATATTATTTGACAGTTCCTGCTGATGATGAGAATGTGAAGACTGCTCATCGGTTGTTATACAAGACGATCGATGATGCAAAAACCCGTTTCCTGGTTGATCAAAGTTGGTTTGTATTTGGATGGGTTGCAGGATACCCGCTTTTGATCGAGGAATAGTCCCTGTTAATGGATGGACCTGTAACATCGTAGTATGCAAAGAGCGTGAGTTTGGTACGGAAACCGTCTCGTAAGTAATAAGTAATTCGAATAAACTAACCTGTGATTCTAGTTGCACTGGCATGAATAATCCATTCGGTTTCTGTTCTTCATGTTGTCTCGAATACTGGTGCTGTATTAACCATTCTTGCCGCTGCTGCACAAACAAATGTTGTCGAGGTAGCAGAACGTCGTTCGGTTGCTGCGCTTGGTGTGTCAATTGCGAAATAAAATACGTTGGAGGACTAAACACATCAGTGGGTAATCGTTCTATTTGGCAATCGTTTCGTGAGTTATTCAGAAATTCTGTATAGAGACAGCCGGAAACTTGGAAATGGTCTCCAAACTTACCAACAAGATATTGAGCTAGTAAATCTGCGGAGGAAAGTTGCGGCAGTTGCTTATTCCCGGTTGAATTGTCATCCATAAGATTTATCTTGCTGTACTTTTCAAAAGCTGAAATAATAGCCTTGCCAGGATTATCAATATGGTTGATTCCAAAATCAAGATTTCTTTCTGGGTCCAATAATTCGGTTAAACAAATATTGAGTATATTTTCCTTTGACGTATTACAAACAGCAGCAAATGCATTGATAAGTGTTTCTATTTCCGCTGCATCGTCCGGTTTACTTTTAAACGAACGTATACGTAGAGTGTCTCTGATAAGCTCGTCTGTAAGTTTAAATCCATAAGATTGAAGCTCATTTAACTTTTCAATGACTTGATCCAAGCCCGGTTTCACCCAATCTTTTGCTGGGACAGGTGGGTAAAGAATGAGCAGGGAGCCTTGCATGACCAAATCATTTACATCAGTAACAATTTCATAATAGCCAATTTCTTTCCAGTCATTAACTAATCCAGGATAGGTGAGTATAGCTTGTGCAACAACATTTAACTGATCGTCATTTTCGTAACCGTCCGAGGGTGGATAGTCTTGTCGTGAATCTGTACTCTCAAAAATATGCTTTCGACTTTTTGGTCTTGGTGGAAA